ATATCTGCTAGTTGATATTCTGAACCAATGTGCTTTACAGTCAGCATACCTATATTTATCCTGTCTCGAATGAACAGGTACTTCCGCTGAATATGTTTTGTACGGAAGTGAAACTCGGGGTTTTCACAGAGTTTTCTTGCTGATTCGTTGTCAACTTTCAGGATAGGAACAGCAGACAATCCTATAAGTTCTTTGAACAAACGAGCAATCCAGATTGTTTCTTTTGAACCAAGATTAGCTGCAATGATTTCAGCTTCACAAGTTGAGTCCGCAACTAACTCCTGTCGACGACTAAGCCAAGTGATAGCTGCACCCGCGTATTTAATAATAACTCCACTTGTTGAACGCATTGTAGTTGGACAACCAGCAAAGTCCGCGTCACTATAGCACTCCAGTAGACGTGTTTTAGGTTTGGATTGGTACACTAGCCGGTCCACAGTGGTCCACAGTGCCGGTCAAATAGCGTATAACACGCTTTGCTCTTGTGACATCATCTTGTGTAGGATTTTCTAAGTGACGTGATAGAACACTTACACTAAATGCAATGTCAAAACGAGTACCACGAGCAACATAAAGTAGGGCTCCAACTGCCGATCGGTATGGAAAATCGGAGGCTTTCCCTGGTGTTTGAGCAGTGAGCTTCTCTATGGGAGTAAGTACTGGCTTGCATCCTTCCATGTTAAATCGAGAAATGATCTTCTTGATATACGCTGATTGGCAGACCAATATATCACCATCACTTTGAGAAATTTCGAGTCCGAGAAAGTATGACACTTCTTTAGCAACAATTTCAAATTGTGAACGAAGTTGCCCAATAAATAAGTCCACTTCAGTCTGACTAGTCGCTGCGACTAATCCGTCATCAACATAGAGTGCAACGATGATTTTTCCAGCAGGGGTAGGACAAATATAGACGCAGGGATCTTCACGGCTCTGTCGAAATCCTAAGCCTTTCATGAAGTCGTCGAACCGTTTATTCCAGCATCGAGGTGCCTGTTTCAGGCCGTATAAGCTGCGTTTGAGACAACAAACACGATTTGTCCCATCTGAATATCCTTCAGGCTGCTTCATAAAAATCTCTTCTTCAACGTCTCCGTACAAGAACGCAGTTGAGACGTCAAACTGCCGTAGAACCATCTTCTCAACAGCTGCGATGGACAATATTGATCGAACGACCTCCAGACGAGCAACCGGGCTGAAGGTTTCAGCATAATCAATACCAGGTCTCTGCGCACATCCTTTGATGACCAATCTTGCTTGATATTTGTCAACACTTCCATCAGGATTGCGCTTTATTCGGTAGACCCACTTGTTGTTGATAGTCTTCTTTCCCGGAGGAAGTTCGGTCAATTTCCATGCACCGTGTTTATGCATGGACCCCATTTCTTTGTCCATTGCTGTTTTCCATTCAGCACTATCTTCTGAACTGATGGCTTCAGTGTACGACTTAGGTTCATCGTCAATAAGAAGAACTTCGGCAAAGTTAGACGAGACGTAATCGTTTAGCCACTCGGGTTGCCTTCTTTCCCGAGTCGAGTGCCGAGTTGCAGGATCGTTGGATAACTCTCCATCTTCACTATCACTGCTACTTGACGGGTCTTCATTCGGTATAGGCGCATTATTACCCTTCACTGGAGAACTAGGCTCGTCAATAGTCTCTTCAACTTCTTGCCAATCTTCTTCGACGTCATTGGTTTTCTCAATCTTGATGGGCCACTCAACTTTCTTGTCACAGTCTCCAACGATTTCTTGAAAAACGATGTCACGAGAGACTACGATATCTCTTCTCTCTGGGACGTAGATTCGATATCGTTCATCGCCATCGTATCCAACCAGGTAACCAACCACAGCTTTCTTGTCTATTTTTCGCCTCCTCTGAACAGGAACATGGACGTAGCACTTTGAGCTGACCACTCGCAGATGTTTGATCCTCGGCTTTTGACCAAACCAGAGCTCAAAAGGGGATTTGTTGGCAGCTACTGACTTTCCCACTCGATTCAAAACGTAGCCAGCAGTGATGACAAGTTCAGCCCAGATCGCTGCAGGAAATGTCACATTTGGATTGGTATACTTGAAGGTACGGGCCATTTCGACGATTGTTCTGTTCTCTCTCTCTACAGCACCATTTTGCTCGGGTGTATACGGCGCTGTCAGACGTTGGTTAACACCATATTCTCTGAGAATTTGACGAACTTCAGCGTTGTCAAACTCACCACCGTTGTCGCTGAGAAACTCTTTGACGTGATGACCAATTGTGCGTGCTTTAGCCAACACTTCACGCAACGCTTCCTTTACAGCAGATTTTTCCCTTGCGACAAAACAGTATCGGTACCTTGAAAAGTGGTCTTTTATGACGATCAAGTATCGGCGACCTCCGAAGGATGGGGCAAACGGGCCGCAAACATCACCGGATAACAACTCACCGGGGGCTGAGGGTCGTTCTCGTGTTCCGAATGGTAGACGGTGTGCCTTTCCGAACTGACACGGTTCGCAGATCTTGTAGTTGGCTAGCACTTTGATACCCATTTCGGATTCGAGCTTCGATCGGACGTAGCGTTTATCCATGTGACCCCAGCGCTCATGATATAACTGCAGAATGCGATTGTCTTCTGCTGCATTAGCGCAAACCTCAGACGGTTGAATTGTGTGAAATGAGGCACGATATAAAGTTCCACCACAGTTTCGAGTACCTTTGAATACAGTTTGTTCGTTAATAGTGAACCGACACTCGGTATTAGTCGATTCAAACCTGCTATTAGGGTTTCGATCATGAGCTGCGAGAATGGACACTAAGTTCCTAGAAACGTCAGGAACATACCAGACATCGTTGAGTGCGAACGTTTCCAGTTTTCCATTTTCATAGTTCGCTACTTCAATGACTCCACTGCCAAGAGCTTTTATAACTTCCTTTCCCGCCGCCTTTACTGTTGCGTTCGAGTTTGCAGGAAAAGGTTTGTACTCAGTGAACCAACTCAGATTTGACGTAATGTGCCGCGTAGCGCCATTGTCGATCCACCACTGGTCGTTCGTGGTCACGATATTCATGTCACTGCTGATGGAAATCAGCGCACTTCGGTTGTCGGTCACGTTAACTTGCGAGCCCTTCGCTCTCTTCTGATCAGTGTCACTTGTTTTTGAGCTAATGCCGTTAGCTCGAGCTGGATACGCAGGCTTGCCGTCAGCTTTCCATTTAGAACACTGGCGAATCCAATGACCTTTCCCCGAACAGTATTTGCACGAAGTGTCACCTTTTGGTTTCCTATTCTTCTGACCACCGCTGTTTGTGGCACTAAGAATGTCACCAGCTTTTGACGTAGGAGCAACATTACGCTCATGAAGGATCAATGCAGATGAAACATCTTCAAGTTTCTTGCTCTCGTTTGCCTTCATAAGTAAGTAGCTAGACTTGAACGATTCAAAACGCTTCGGCAAAATGTGTAACACTTTTGACACAAACAGGAGCTCAAGAAAATCTTCGACTGTTTGGATGTTACGTGTTTTGAGGCCAGCTGCAAATTCGCGGTTTTGATTCTTCAATCTTGAAAGCACGGTTGGGGCATCCTCGGTATCATCCCATTCCATACTGAAGAAATCCAAACACTGACGAAACAACTGATCTTCTGCCTTGTTATCGAACTGCTCGATCAAAATGTCCCACGCTTCCTTAGCTGATAATCTTCCGGAAATACGTTGATGTAGATCATCACTAACGCACTGAGAAATAACTATTTTTGCCTGAGTCGTGGATTTGTTGAATTTCTGAAGTTCTTCTTTTTCGGCTATAGTCGGAGGCTCAGAGAGGGTAGGCTTTTCTCTCTTTCCCTCGACGATATCAACCGCGTCGAACAACTCTAGAACGTCCAACACTCGATCTTTCCACGTCGGCCAATCTTCTGCTCCTTTCAATGGTTTTATACCTTTCACGTATTCCATTTGTAGAGCTGGACGAACTCGATCGAAAGATATACCAAAGAAATAATACTCTTGAGACAGAAAATGACATCAGAATAAATTGTTCTTACCGTGTACGTAGTAGACTAGATTTCCCAACAATGTTATGTACATAAAACGATGCTGGCGACCATAACCTCTTGAATTATTCTCCCAAGTGGAGGTGTTTAGGGATAATCTAAGCAAAACTACGACGAAAAAACGAATTTAAACTATAAAATAATCAAATGTATTTCTCATTAATGTTTTCATGACAAGGAACCATATTGGACAAAAACAGACAGCTGATAGTAAAAACAACATTCATATCATCTGTATGACTATTACAAATAAACAGAAAAGGCAGGCATTTTCAACACATATAACGCAGCGTAACGCCTTGCCATATCCCCCCTCCTAAAGCCCATTACGTATTTGTATGGCCCAAATGTAAGTTAATTTACGTAAAGTGATGATGGATCCAAATAGGATCCGAAACTAGTTGCGACTGCAGTTGAATGGATTACCTAATAGTAGGTATCTAAACCTTTTTATTATTATTTGGCAATCCGGAGGCTAACATCACAATAAAGTATACCTATAAGTAGTTGAAAAACAGAAAAACATATTAGTTTTTGGCAGTTAAATACTTAAAATACTAAAATAGTGCTCAAAATGGTGGTTTCATTGCCTATCATTCCGAAAAACTTTGGTGGGAGTATTCCATAAACCCTAGACCCCCTGGTGCCCCCCCCCCCCCCACCAATGAAATCCTGGATCCGTCCCTGCCAAAGCTTAGCCCATATATACCTATAGGCTTTTGGTGGTCAAAGGGTTAATGACAGAAACAAAAGTAGGAAATATTATAGTTCTTCGAGCTTTATACAGGTTTGTGACTGTATTAATTAACTTAAGTCCTTTGAAATTAGGTTAATCCTTCGAAGTCAAGTGGTAAATGGGCTCCTCCCTCAACTGCAGACCTTCGTGGTCCCGACTGTAGAAGAAACCTGTGAGATTCCTCTTAAAATTGTTAAAAGAAAGTATTCTATTGTTTTTTGTTTTTTTTTTAGCTAATACGACAACGTCAAGCTTATTCAGAAAGAAAAGGAACAGTAACAGAAGAATTTGAAAAGAACTCTTAACAAAAGAAGATAAATTTGTGTTTTACATGTGTAAATATTTAAAATATTACTATCTAGAATAAATGGTGTTTAATGTAACAGTGTCAAATAAAATGTTTTGTACTATACTTATAGTATTTTTTTTACCTTCTTATAATTGGTATTTTTTCAAAGTCTACTATTCTTTAAGTCCATTTTAGCGAATTTCCCTATAGGGAAGTAGCTATTACCAATGACTATTGGATACTGAAGTAGACGTCCCATCTATATGGACCAGATGTAGCCAATTTTTTGTTAAAAAAGAACTTAGTTGTGTGAGCCAGTCACAGAATGCGCTAGTGACTAAAACTCTATTTTCTACCTTATTTTTTGTTGCTGGCCAAGTTGATAGATGGGTCCAACATTTGCTTTGCTCACAATAAGTCATTCCATTAGTTTGAATTATTGGTAAAAAAAGATAGGCTAAGTATTCAACAGAAATCATCAATTTAGATCAGCACAATCTGTCGGGGGCTCATATCAACTACACTGATTTGATTTTGGTTTAAAAAACTGGCAACAAATTTAACATGGGGGTGACATGTCTAGTTGTATTGATGCTTTTAGTGCTATGCGACAATATATTGTTGTGCGTCTTTTAGTCTTTTTCCCGAAAAGTGCTATGGAACGATATATCGTTCCGTTTCATCCGAAAAGTGCCAAGCGACGTATATTGTGCCGGTGCGACTTTCGATCATGTGAGTTTAAATGGACATAACGGTTGACTCGGTTGTTGTTTCGAACAGCGATGGTTTCTTTCGATTCCTCATACGATCAAGGCCCAATATATCGTTCCTTAGCACTTTTGAGATGAAAATTTGTTTACTGATTTTTTTTCTCGCACACTAGACTTTGCCCCCGTGGCAAGCCTAGCACTTTTCGGACAAAATAAGTAAATAACTAGCATTTTTCAGAAAAAGAAAAAAAATCTAGCATCAAAAGGGCTTAATAGTCAAAGCTATTACTGTAGGGAGCACGGTAAGACCTGGGCCCGGGACCGCTTTACTTTTTCAAGAATCAAGAGCTTTATTGTCATTGACCATTTTACAAGGAATATACATAGTCAACAGAATTAAAAACTAAAACTAGAAAAATAGTGGGTTATAAATTAAAATCAATATTTAATATTATATACTAAATACTCTGTTATACAGTAGTATAGAATTTTGATGAGCCACTTGAACCAGTTTTGCTGCCAGAATTTTGAGTGGTATCGGCAGTTTGAGTGTCACTGTACCTTACGCACCTCATTCCTAGAATAGAGTGAAGGTCAAAACTCACCCCTACTATTTTATATTTGTTAGTTTTGTTCAGTTTTGTAAGAGGCTGGAAGTAACTTCCGTGTGCGCTCTGCCGATTCTCGTACAGCCTGGAGGCAACTTCCGTGATGCGACCTCTAAGTTTAGTGTGTGCGTTGATTATTGCGTGTAAACTATTACTGTAAATAATTATTTTTTTACGATTCATGTCATTATTTAGTAAATATATCGTTTTTACAAGATGACAGAAGAAGTTAAATTTCGAATTGCAACACTCTTAGCCATGCTGAAAGGGAGATTCACCAACGACGTATGTACAGAGCCATTTAGTATTAAGATACCCATTGTCTTAAATTACTTAAAACATCAGGTATTGAGAGTGTTATCAATTAAAACTACATTATAGAACATTGTGGTAAAATTTAAATTAACTTGTTGAATATATTCTTGTAAAAGATTTCTTCATATACTTTTATGTTAGAAAATTTGATAGAATAATAGTTTAATTTTATATTTATAAATTCTAAATTAAATTATTGTACAATTAAGAGTTCACTAAACATATTTTTTATGTTTAAAATTAAAAATAAAACTTAATTTGTATACCAAAATACAAATTTTACTTCATAAATGTTTGTTTTTATTGACCTGGAAGTATCCTCCGGGTGCGCCCTCTCCCGTTTTAAAAACCAATGCGCCCTCTGAAAGGTCAAAAAGCCGAATTCAATTTATTTTATGGCAGTAATCTGTTTTGGCCAATCTATGGGCAGGGATATCTAGATTGGATTTGCCTCTTGTATTGTAAGAATGTATACTTTCTCTATAAGTGAATTGATGAAGATTATCTTTAGTCTAGAGGATTACGTGGAAAATATACAGTGTAGAATATGATGTTGACATTAAAATACTTGAAATATTACCTTAATAACCGCAGTTTCAGTGTTTAATATTATGTGAATATACAGGGCGAAAAATATTATATTGGGAACTTCAACTTTTATCTTATGACATACAAAAATATGAATTCCTTTTTTTATGGCTGATATTTTCAATATGGCAGTTAACTTACAAATTTACTATGGGACACCTTGTATTTTATGACAATTTTAGTGGGTAATTTTAAAAACGTTTTCATTAGTTGAATTTTGTCTATAAACCTACGTTTAGGAGTTACAGCGTGTTACATTTTGGAAAAATGGCTTTTTGGTACATTCTGCATGATATTGCTCCTAAACAAGTAAGCTTTGGGAAGAAATGCAAAGAATAAATTAGTCTTAAAATTGAAAATCGCATCTACATTCTAAAAAGATCATAAAATATATTAAAATTATTCCTTGAGGTTTTTACAAAATAGCCACAAAAAATGGCAACTATGAGTTCAAATTTCTTATGAATCTCCCTGTATTTTATAATCTTATTCTTAAATGAGCTACATCATGCAGAATGTTGACAAAAAGCCACACTTTTCCAAATGGTGCACGCTGTAACTCTTAAACAAGTTACAAGTAGCTTTTTAGAAAAAAATTAAACTACTAAAAACTTTTTTCTAAAATTATCATAAAATACAAGTTGTCTAATAAGAAATTTTAAAGTTAACAGCCATATTAGAAAATACAAATCTGATATGCTCCCCAATGGGATGCACTAGGGATAAAATAAAACTAGAACACTTGATATGCAACCTAACAAGGCTTCAAAAGGAAATAGGTGCACAGATTACAATAGTAGTCCATGAAGAGGCAGTAAACAATCGGCTGAGAAGAGGTCTGTCCCACTCCGACTTTGTGAAGAGGCTACAGCAACTGGTACGTAAGGAGCAGCAAACTCCAGGTCAGCCCGAGGCGTCCACTAACCTTCCATCTGGCAACATTCAGCAGACTGATGACAGGAGACTTCACCAGCAACACCAGATGTCAGACCTACAGCATCAATGCAGCAGCAATGTGTATGTCTAGTGCAGTGAGAAATAATGCCTGTTTACTCCCCTCCACTATTCTTGCACCGGGCCCTCTTTCCTTTTGTGAAGCCGTAGTCCAAGGCAATAGCAATAGAAATGGTAGTGTCAGTGAGATAGTGCGTAGTGGTGAGAGAATGCTTCCTGGAGGTTCCAATAATAACTACATTCACATTGATGATGCAGAAATGCACTTTCCTTTTTTAGGAATAAACCCAAAGAGAAACCAACTTCTCTGAAATCCGAAATAGTTACAAATAAAAAGCTTTTACACTCAGCCAGTGTCTCTTCATATAGGGATTCGAACAACAGTAAGCAGAATGTACTTCTTCATAGGAATCTCCAGGGTGCAAATGGGAAAACGGAGGAGTTAGAATTGTTCACTTTAGGTTTAGAATGTAAAGTAAAAATTGTATGTATTAATGAGCATTGTATAAGAAAAGATAATAAGTATATTTTAAATAAAATGTCAAATTTCTGTTTAGCTGACGGCTTTTTTAGGGAGAGATCAGAGGGAGGTTCCTGTATTTTAATTCACAACTCTCTATCATTTATTGTTCGAGATGATCTCGCTGTATTTAACAAAGAATTCTTGTTAGAGGGTTCCTTTGTACAAATAATTTCCAGGGCCGGACTTAAAGACTTAAGAGGCCCCGGGCGAATTTGCCAATGGGGCCCTCAGTAGGATTATACGAGAACATACGGTACACAATGTAACGCATATTACATGCACACTAATTTTAAATAGGCAATTTCAAGGTGAATTAATATGTAATCCTGTTAGAATAGTATGCTGTATTTTGCATAAACTAATTTTATGTAATATTTTAAGTCTGAAAATAGCTACAATGTACGGTTGCGGTTGGTGTTATGTTATGATTTGTTCTTGTTGTAATTGTATTTATAAAAATTTAAAATACCTAGCAGGTACCTTACACATTTTTTTACGATACATTAAAATGTAATATCCTTTGCAACAACAAAGGAAATCTATAGATAAAATTAAAATAAAATAACATGTACTTGTAAAAGGTTTAATTTAATTTTTTTTACTGTAATACACATTCTATTTGGTGCTTGAATGAAAACACAAATAAAAAATAACTAACATTAATTAATGGAATAAGTTATATCTAAACTTGTGATGTAAGCCAGAGATAATGCATAAACTTACTATAATTTTACTAACAAACCTTTTATTACGTTTATAAGGTACAAGTCAAAACAATTTTAAATTTTACTTTTTATAGATTAATCATTATAAGGTTTAGAACATAGTTATTTTCCCTCCTATAAATAAATGTCACTTCCCACTCTGATACGTTGGCCTGGCAATTAAAACCCCCTTTCCCTACATTTCTTGGCTGAACTAAAACTATAAAACCATAAACTATGACTTATGTTTATTTTCATTCATGGAATTCTCGTTTGTATAATATGTTAAAGTCCTAGCATGAAAAGTACCATTAAGAACTTTAACAAGTTTGAGTTTTTTCTTGAAGAGTAAAATGTTGCAATACAAGTCTAATTACCAATCACAAGCTAACCATTTATATGAGTAACTGAAAGATGTTTAAATGTATTCAATATTGATTAATACAACACACACACATTACATTCAATACAACATTAATTTGTTCTTTGTAGTGTTTGCAGAATTATTTAATAAAATACAACACAAAAGTACGACAATGTCAACCAAAAACACACTGGAAGTAAATTGATTTAAATTGTTTTGGATAGGCGATAAGACATTCATTGTATGTGCGCGTGCGTGAGACAGACAGGACTAGACAGGATCCCTTATCAGCTCATTATCATTTATTGTTGCAGATGCTTGTTGCTTTTTTTACGATTTCAGTCGACAACGCTCGCC